TCTTTTCCAATAAAGTCCATGACCCTGGCAGAGAATTTAACTTTTCATGGAGCTTACAATGAATTACAATGACATGCACTCAGCTTTTACTTGTTGATTAACCACTCTCAGCTTTTTGTTAATTGTTTTCCAGAACAATAGGGTTTAACAATGACCACCCAATTCTATTTTCCTTGTAATTGCTATTTCCCCTACATGTCTCAAATACTTTATACATGGTACCAGCTAGGCATTTGCTTCAACTAGTATAGCCATCCTAGTGTGTACCACTGCTGAGAATTTTAACAATTGCACTGCCACCTTGTGCCCATTGTCAGCCAGGCACAAAATAATTCAGCTCCAAAATATCATCCCAGTGTCTGCTTTCTTGGGCCACTCCTAACACCAGCTGGACCAGGGTGGGTTCTTCAAGAAGCAGATTCCAAACTAGAGACTAATGCATAGGAGGTTTATCAGGGTGTGCTCTGGATACCAAGGGAAAGAAGCAGGATTGGATAGAAGAAGTTGAGCTGAGATGCAAGCTCAAGGAAGGCCTCACTCAATGCCACAGGAAGCTTTGAACTGTAGTGACCCTTAAAAGTTGTGTTGAGCTGTCCTTCCATTGATCAAAAATTAAATGCAGTCTACTCTGAAAAAGCAGCTCCTTTCAGCTAAAGCAATCCTGGTGTGGAGCTAATGGTTAAAAGGGCTTTCTGTGGGTGGTATTCCCAGCATCTGTGGAAGTAAATTCTTCATTTCTGAAGGGGAAACTTGGCTGTGTGTCACAAAGTCAACACCACATAATTATAACTAAGTAAATTATGAGAAAATGAAGACTGTTTATTCAAATCTGAAACACTTTTCCTCTTGATAATATTCTGCAGTCTTCGAATTTAATAAAAATCTGTGGTTATATATTTTCCTTGGTTTTCTAAGTCCATAAATATTAAATGTAATTAGTTATTTTATTTTATTTTTGAATGCCTTTTTCTGTTCTAAGAGCTTCATATGTAAGATACCATGATTTATCCACATTTTCCTTAGAAAGTCTGTCGACATATACAAGTGGATCCATAAATGTTTGTGGAATGGCTGTTGACTTGGTAGTGCCATAGCGTTTATTTCTCAGGCTTTCTATCCATTTTCCATCCATTTTTTTTCCCTACAGAAAGGTGCTATATTAAAGGATAATGACCACATTGTAGATATTCTACTATTATTTTTCCTCTGCCACTCATTAGTATAAAAACATCTAAAGTTTTAAAATTTGTCATAATATTTTAGGGGAAAATCATCCACAGTAAATGGACCTTATCAGGTAGCTTAAATTAGCCTTTCTAAAGAACTTCATCAATGTTGGAAGTTAAATTACTTTTTATTATATTTATCAAAAATATTTCTTGTCTTCTATTAGAGTTAATTTCCAGAAAATTGAGGCTCAGCACTCTTCAGCACTTCTCATATGTTGTCATAGCTCTGATTTCAAATTTGAGTATCATATCAGTGGCTTATAACTGCTATATCTGATCTCCATGTAAAGTCAATTTTTCTAAGATCGGATTTCATATTATTTTAAATACCTGCAGATTTCAAAACTTTTACGTCAGATTTGGAAAACACCATTGGTTCTCAGTAACATTTCCGGAGAGAAAAAAAAAATGTATTGCCCTTCTTTTTTGGTTCAGCATCTGTGACTGTCTTTCTGGAATTTCATTTTCCTGGCAATAGGAAAAAATTTCTACTCCTCAATTGGATAGTAACTGGTAGTCACTAACTAGCAAAACACACCAGAAAAGTATTTTTTCTATCTCCCAGTTTCTTGAATAATTAATGTGCCTTTAGAAATTACTCTAGAGATGTTTATAGAAAATTGTTAGTTTGGGAAAAAATATGCCAGATGCACACATTGGTTGTACATTAGGGAATGGGTGGTAGGTTTGCATTCTTCAGTTTTACTGCACTGTGGGAAAACTATTGTCCCAAACCATAGAATATGTTGCTCGGAGCCCCAAATCTGTCACAAGGATTGAAGCAGCAAAAAAGACAATTCAGCACACTTTTCTGGGGAATAGAATGTTTTTACAAGATTCACCGGAAGGCTCAGGCTTGAATAAATAATGCAAACCCCTTACATGCCAAGCAAATTCTGCCATCACACAGCCTCCTCTGGTACAGCATTTGGTCTGTTGTGGGCCCATCCTGACTCCTTTGTAAGAGAATTTTGTTCCTGGAAATATGAATTTTACAGCATAAATCTACATATTTTGTAGCTCTGAGATATAAATCCCAAGTGAAAAATTATTGGGAAGTTATTATTTTTTTTTCCTTTTTGTCTTTTTTCGTGACCGGTAACGGGATCGCAACCCTCGGTGTCGCGCCCATACCGGGGACCGGCAACGGGATCGCAACCCTCGGTGTTGCGCCCACACCGCACTCAGCCAGTGAGCAGGAACCGGTCTCCACATGGGATCCTAACCCTCAGCGGGAGCGCCGCCACGCTCCCAAGCAGCGCACTCTCCATTGCGCCACCGGGCTGGCCCATGGGAAGTTATTTTCTAATGTTAATAGTCATGTATTAAAAAAGTTAAAGATTAAATGTAGTTACCGCCTGTTATGAGCTGAATTGTGTCCCCCGCAATCCATATGTTGAAGTCCTTACCCACAGTGCCTCAAAGTGTGACTGCACTTGAAAACAAGGTCTTTAAAGAGGTAATTAAGATAAAATGAGGTCCTTAGAATGGGCCCTAATCCAATATAAGTGGTGTCGTTATAAGAAAAACTTTGAACACAGAAACAGAGAGAAGACCATGTGATGACACAGGGAGAAAATGGCCAATTAGAGAGGCCTCAGAAGAAACAAACCTTGCCAACACCTTGATCTTGTAGTTTCTTAGCCTCCAGAATAGTGAGAAAATAAATTTCTGTTGTTTTAGCCACTCAGTCTGTGATACTTTATTTTGGCAGCCCTAGCAAACTAATATATTGCCTGCAACAATAAGAAAACTTAATAAAACTTTCCTTAGTGTGCTTAGCTATACTCTAGTTCCTAACGCTTGCTATTTACCTAAAATTTTTTGTCATAATTAGAGTGAACCCATTACTAAGTAAAACTGTATTTGGATTTCTTAAGCATATTTGAATTTTGTAAACTCCTGCATACCATTAAAGAAAGGTGAGGGCCGCCCCGTGGCTCACTCAGGAGAGTGCGGTGCTTCGGAGTGCAGTGGCACTCCCGCTGTGGGTTTGGATCCTACGTAGGGATGGCTGGTGCGCTCACTGGCTGAGCGTGGTGCGGGCGACACCAAGTCAAGGGTTGCGATCCCCTTATCGGTCACAAGAAAGACAAAAAAAAAAAAAAAAAAAAAAAGAAAGAAAGGTGATACAGCCAACAGTCATAAGACAATCCTATTTCTGATTAAGGAAATTAAAAAAAAAATTTTTGTTGATTAAATGAAAGGTAAACAGAAGAACAATATAATATTTTTATTGTTTTCCCTGATATGGATATTAGTTTAATTCTAAATTTTAATATAATTGAATGACTGAGTCCCCAAGATTAAGGGGGCAGAGTCCCCAGAGAGGAGTTTTGTAAAGCAAGCACTACTTTTATAAAAGGATCAGTGACATTAAGAAACTACATTAAGGCATTATGTCAAAGAGTTTTCATAAATAATTTTTTCCTCTATCAAAACTTTTGGATTATCTTAGCATAAATGATTGTAGAAGTAAGGCTTTGTCAACTAAGAATATTTGAAGAATAGTATAAGGTGCAATAATTCAAATTAAATACTTTGCTGTTGCAGCCCAATTGCCATTTTCTTGACAGACTTTCACAGTATTTGATTAAATTGGGTAAAAATGTATGTTATAAACTGATTTGTGTCTCCACAAAATTTGTATATTGATGCCCTAACCTCCAACGTGACCCTATTTAGAGATAGAGCCTATAAAGAGGTAATTAAGGTTAAATGAAGATGGATGGGTGGTCCCTAATCCAATAGGACTAACACCCTTGAGAAAGAGGAAGAGACACCAGGGGTGTGTGTGTACAGAAGAGGAACATGTGAGTTCACAAGGAGAAGGCGGCCAACAGCAAGGCAAGGAGAGAAGCTCAGGAGAATCCAACCCTGCCTTCACCTTGACCTTGGACTTCCAGCTTCCAGAAGTGTGAGAAAATAAATTTTTGTTGTTTAAACCATCCAGTTTCTGGTATGTTGTAGTGGCAGCCCTAGTAAGCTAACACAATATAGACCTTAGATATCAGTTGAGAACACACTAGCAAGGGGAATTTTTTAATTGTTCTAAAAAGAAATGGTTTTCAACACTGCATTTTGGTTTCATATGTATAGAAAGTCAATGATTCAGGTTATGTAGGAGAATATGGGATATGGCTTGTTTCATACATGTACACTCCAAATATATATTGTCACTCATTTATATTCATGATTTTTTTTTTCTCTCAGAATCATCAAATGAATTTGGGGAAAGGCGAAATCAGCCAAAAATTCAGAAGCCAAATTTTTGAAAGAATATGTTTTCATAACAGATAAATTTAATATTCATCAAATATAAGAAAAAAACCTGACAAACTATACTGATATGATTTTTGTATTTGTCAATTGCATACAGTAAGAAATAAAAATGCAAAGTATGTAATTTATTTATGTTATTTATATATGTAACTTTATTTATGTAAAAACTTTCTAGTTCAGTTGATTTCTGTGTATGGAGGAAAATATTATTTTGAAGGAAAATTATTCTGGAGGAAAATTCATATTTTTCATTAATTGTTCATAGACATGATTCATGACAGTATAATATAGGTAATTATTTAAAGAACCATCACATTTTGAATGTAGGGTAAAAAAGAGAATGAAAATTTCATATTTTGTAATAATACTGTGGCTTCAGTTTAGCATTTTATTTATTTCAGGATTGTTTGTGTGTGCGATACTTCCTAAATCATGAAAAACTTGTATACTTAGAATGACAATACGTATGAATAAAAAGTTACACAAGTATTTTGGTTTGCACCCCAGGTGATTCAACTTTATTGCAACAGAAATTAAAGAGAAGGTATAAGAATCGTGATAAATATCAGCAGCATAGAATCTCACCCATGATATTCTACAGAAAAACAGAGTGATATACTTAAGTGTCATTTGACAGGAAAACATAGACATATTGTTTCATATCTCCATTCCATTCAGAACAAAAATGGATTTAAATGAATTATGAAAAAAATGATAAAGTGGAATACGAGAAATACTCTATTGTGATAGACATGAGATTTCTCAACATTATGTTTACAAGTTCAGCAAAAGTTATCAATATCCCTAAAGTCTTATTTCAAGACACCGATATCTCTCAGAGCCTGAGTGTGGCCTGCAAGTGGCCAGACATGTTTTACTCAGTGTCACTGTAGCACCGGTTCCTTTTAATCTGCTCTTCCACTGTGAGTTGTTCAGCCTGAACCTCCACTCTGGGAGACAAAGGCTTAGCTGCACATTCACTGCTCAGAGCATGAAAACTTGCATTTCCATTACTGTGGGCTGCTCCTACCATTTCATCATGCCAGTGCTTGATACCTTTTCCAAATTCTCTTAAATACAAACATGGCATATTTTTAATTCGATCTACAGATTCTAAGTCACACTCAAAAATGTTCTCATTTTTCTTGGAAAAAGCAGTGATTTTCACAGTGTTAGAAAAGAAAAAGTGTAAATTTTTGTTATTTGAATGGTTTCCTTTAGTGTTTAAGAGGTTTGTATCAGAAGATTCTATTGAACTTTCTGCCTTGACTCTCCAGCCCCCATTGAGGCCTGGTTTCGGAGCAGACTGCACAGGACTGCCAGCAGCCGCTCTGACAGTCTGTTTCTTGAGAGCCACAGCTAGTACATTCCTTGAGCAAGTCTTTTCAGATTCAAATATACCAAGTAACTCTGAGATTCTAGATGCATTTTCTAACTTTTCAATTCGATATTCATTTGCAGTGTACTTTCCTGTACTTGACAATGGTAATAGAAGAGGGAATTCTAAAATAGATGTTTTCTGCTTGCAGTTATCCAGATGCGAGTCTGCTACATAATTGTTATTATTATTCTTATTCAAATTCTCTTTACAATTTCCTGGCATCACCTCATCATCAGTGTTAGTAACCTGTAAAACTTCTGCACCATCAGGTTCATTAGTTTTTCCATCTTTCTCCTTTTCAGCACTCTGCACAACTACATTATTGTTGTCATGAAGATCCATTTCACTTTTCCACGTATTCTTTGTATCTTCGGCCTCATTCAGCTTATATTGCACATCCTTATTTCCTTCCTTCTCTTCTTTTCTTGCTTCGTACATTTTCATTTCTTTGATGTCTATAACATCCTCTTTCTGACACATATGGGTGGACTGTGGATATGGCTGCAGAAAAGAAATGTTATCTTGCTCTTGTCCTTTATTGTCCAGAGTTTTAACAGGTTGTATTGGTGATCCACTTTTAAATTCAGGGGATGCAGGGATACTCATTTCAGGTGGCCATTTAGGTTTACTCATTTTGAGCTCTTCTTTAAGGGGGGAGCTTTTCTTAGGCATCTCCATGAAAGGAGGCCAAATGATTTTTAATTTTCCCCTCTCCCCCATTTTTTTCAAATCATCCCTTTGCCCTTCACTGTTACCAGCATCTAAATGTTTATTACAATCTCCAAGTATAAGGGTGTTTGCTGCAGGGTTTTTACACATACTTGGTTCTTCATTGGGAATAAAGTCGACTGGGCCTCTTCGATTTTTGCAATTCCATTGATCTTTATGCTGTTTGTGTCCAAAACCTTCATCATAATTTCCTTTAGATTTGAAAAGTTGTTTAAAGTGAGGTTTACAGTATATCTGTCCATGAAGTGATGCATAATTTCCCAAACTGTCAGAAAGAGAAAAATAATGCTTAGCATTCTGTATATTTACTGTAAATACATAGGGAATTAGGGAATTAATTATTTCAATAATGAGTCAGAGATTCATTATTAACTTACTAGCAATAAAAATGACCTTATTAATTGAACATTCCTATTAGATAATGGTTACCATCAATATCTTATGATACATGTCTTCCAATATTTAGAATATCATGATGTATGTCAGATATTGGTATAATAGGTGTTATAGTGTAATGCACATGTAGTTATAGATGGGGCAGAATGATAAGACTAAACCTGTGCTAGCTCAATGATTTACATGAGGGGTTGCAATTTTAAATAAATCTTTCATAGCACGTACATAAAAATCAACTACTTGAACTTTCTTGTTAACTGGATTTTGAATGAATTGGAAAGCCTGCCTATGTAATTGCTTAACTGGCCTCTTTGGGGACGTTAACAAATAGAGTACCTAGTAAAATTAAAATCGAATTTAGTCAGAGGCAGCAGCATAGTTTTGAATATCTCTGAATCCACACATAAAAAATGATTCATCAACTACATAGCAAACCTTAAAATCCATGGGTAATTGTTACAAAAAACTAAGTGGCAAGATTGCTCCACCAATGTCAAAATACAAAAGGTAAGGACAAGCCACAAACAGACACAAGACCAACATGGTAGTCTCATCTATATGGGTGATAGCAGGAGGACAAGAAATGTATGTGATGGACCTGATAATACGAAACTGCAAAATAATTAGTCAACATTTTTTGGAAAGTATCATGTGCCAATCAGAGAACAGCAGCTGAGACTGGAGGGTTTGTCTTCTCCAATAGGCAGTGAGTGCAAAGGCCCCGTGGTAAGAAAGACTGAAGAGGCTTGTGAAGCTGATCTCTGAAAACTGACCCACTGGGGTCCCCTTTCAGGACAGAACTCCAAACTGAGAAAAATATCAGCAGAGTAAAAATTGGGCAGGACAAGGATGACAAAAATGAAAGAGAAGGTCCTAACCAACATGTGGGAGAGAAATCAAGCCAGGAAATCCCAGAAATCAAGCCATCTTATTTTTTTGAACAGTGTATGTTAACTAGAAGAGGTAGCGCTGTGAGATTAGAAAAAAACATCTTGAATTTTATATCTGTCTAAGGCTTGGGAAAAATAATTTCATATAAAAATGAGCAACAGAAATGTACTGGGGTAAAATCTTATACAAAGTTATTATAAAAAAAAAACGAAAGAGTAAGGAGCATTTGAATAACCTGCAGATAATGAAAATATGCCAGAAAAATATGCTTTAAAAATAGATGAAGATTTTAACCTACTATTTTAAAACAAGTTAAATGATGTTAAGAACATAATAAAAGACCTGAAAGAACAACATGAATCAGAATTCGAAAAACTCATAAAACGACATGCCAGAAATTAGGAAAAAAATTGAAATAAAAAAAAATCTCAGCAATAAAAACTAAACTAAAAGGAGCACAAGAGCAAATAAACACAATAGAAAGTGAGTTAAGAAGAGAAACAAAAGAATAAAAAGATGAAATTTTGAAAAATGAAGAAAGAAAAAGATATAAAATATTTGAGAGAAAAGGACAAATATTAAAGGTAGGCTAATATCTAATGTATGGATAATAGGGGTTCCCGAAGAAGAAAACTAAACTAGTGAAACAGATTAAATATTAAAAGTCTATAATTAAAAAACTTTCTTGATATAAAAAGTACATAACACCATATTGAAAGAGCACACTGGGTAATTGACACTTATTGACGCAGAATGACAAATGCCAAGAACTAATCTAGTAAAATTTTAAAAATAGAAGGAAAAAATATCCTTGTATATCTTTTTTAAAAAGCTTATGTCTTATAAGGAAAAGAAAATTAGAATATTATTAGACTATTTCAATATTTTATGCCAGAAGAAAATGAAATAATGCATTTAAGATACTCAATGAAAGTGTAAGACGAGAATCTTAATTTCAGCAAAACTGTCTCTTCACTTTATTTTTTTTTATTTATTTTTTATTTTTTGTCTTTTTTTTTTTTTTTTCCGTGTCCGGCAACGGATCGCAACCCTCAGTGTTGCCCCCGTACCGGACCGGGGACCGGCAACGGGATCGCAAGCCTCGGCGTTGCTCCCACGCCTCGCTCAGCCAGTGAGCGGGAGCCGGTCTGTATGTGGGATCCGAACCCTCGGACGGGAGCGCCGCTGCGCTTCCCAAGCGGCGCACTATCCAGTGCGCCACCGGGCCGGCCCTTCACTTTAAAGGTCACAGACAAATTACTATCAGCATGTATGAACTTAGAGAATACTGTTTCTATGAGCATTTTCTAAAGAATCTACTAGAAAATAAGCCTCAATAACCAGAATGACTACAGAAGCATCAGTACAAGTTTTGGTGGTGGGCATTAATATCTTGCTATCTGCAAACTAAGATGAAGTGAGGGCAAAAAGAGATAATGTGGTAGGTAGCGGATGCATGATCTGACACTGAAGATAGAGTACAACGATGTAAAAAAATGGGGAGTGGATAAATGGGGAAAGCAAATGTAATTTTTTAATGTTTTGATAATCAAATTAGTGGTGTTAACAATTTTGTTATTAATATATAAATATGTATTTATACATTATTTATAATGTATACATATCGTTTTCCACTACAAAAGCTGAGAAACAATCACCAACACAGTAGACTGAGCATCAAGATCATTGTCTTATATTGTTAAATAAATAATTGATATATTGGAAAATTTAGTACATAAAGGGAAAGAATCATGAACTTATTCTGTCTTTCTCCCACCAACTGTACCACTGTGTAACCAAATAGTAGATAAGAGGAAGCATCTCTTTGTAAAAGTATTCTAATAAGTAAAAACGAAATAACAGAATTAAAATATTAACATTTTGCAGGTATCAATGAATAAATACAGGTATTAAGCCTCAGTATTTGCTATACTCACAAAACAAAAGACAACCAGACTTTGTCAACACTATCTACATTCTTGCGAAAGGTGTCAAACCTGAGTCTCATCTAGAATCTAGATCCAGCTGATGTTTGGTCCAGAGGACCAAGTAGAATGTTCATCTGCACTCTGAGTGTGTAATCAGCAAATCCAGACTGGAAAGTCTATAGGTTAAATGTCCTGGGTTCTTCATAAATAAATTTTGAAGAATGAAAGGAATTTAGGAGAAACACATAGATTAAAAAAGACTTAAAAGACCTAAGTTCTGAAAAATGGACAAGGCTAAAGTATGGTTTCTGGGAAAGCATATTTAGATAACAAAACTACAGAAATGCAAGGAAGTGATTGTTAAAAAGGATATTATTTACTAATGGGAGATAGGTATTTGTGGGCAGAAATTATGGGACTTGGTGATAGGTTGGATGTAAGAAACAAAGAAGAGAAATGAGTTATGTTTTGATTTTGATTGAGTTAATATTAATGTCACTTACTGAGTCAGTGACATACAGGCTATGTGAGTCACCAGAAAGAGCAGAAACAGTGAGAAGAATAAATTCCCATAGTAGAATTTTGAGGAACTCTAACATTTGGGTAATGGACAGAGAAAGAGTCACTCACACAAGTGCCTGAGAAGGAGCCTCCAGAAGGTAGGGAGAAAACTATTATACTCTGTTGTCATGGAAACCAAGGGAAAAGAATGTTGCAGTGAGGGGTGTTGGACATTGTCAATTAAAGTCAGGAAGGATATAGTCTGAGAGATGCACATTAGATTTAGCAAAAAAAAAAAAAAAAAAAAAAAAAATTCCATTTCACCATCTCAGACTACAGTCATACCAAATGTTGCCTTCCTTTAAATACATGTACTTCAAGAGTTTTGGAAAATGAGTCATTTCTAACTGTGTTGATGAGGTGCTCCTGTTGCTCCAGAGAATAAACAATTTTTCTATTACTTGTCATTGATATTATGCTAAATTCCATTTTTAAAAAAAACTTATATAATCTAGCTTAAACATGGCAAAATCTAATGCACCACCTGTTCTGGTATATGAAGGTTTATTGAACACAGCCACGCCCATTCAGTTATAGCCATGCCCATTTGTTTAGTCACTAAGGCCACTCATGTACTCCAGTGAAAATTGGCTAGTGACAGAAACAGTATGGCCTATGAAGCTGAAAATATTTGCTATCTGGTCCTTTACAGAAGTTTGCCAACTTCTGATCTAGAGTCTAAATTTTGGACTACAGTACTAACTTAAAAGTACTGATTTGTACAGTGACTTTTGATTTTTCTTATCCATGTTCAGACAAAATGGGTCTTGCTGGATTTGATAAGCAAAACAAAATTCCAAAAGGAAAAATGTCATAGTCATCCTGAGCAATACATAACAGAACATGAGCACCTCCCCTTCTGTGGTTAGCTGACAGCAGCAATGAGATCTGGAAAAATCTGCATCTTCCTAGAGACATGGTATTATACATACATAGCAGGCTTTTTGAAATATTTGTGCTACAGAGCACAAAATATTTTACCTCAGTTTGCTTTTGCAATGGTGGCATCGGAAGCAGGACTTATGAAAATTCTGCTTGTCTGCTACTAGGCACTCCATTGGATAAACTGTCTTTTGACAAAGTGTACATATTTCCTTGTCTTGGAGCAGCAGTTTCTGAAAATAAAAATTTTCAGTGGCTTATATAGTGTTATCTTCAATCATATTGTAAAAACATGCAAAACAAAACAATGACATATTAACTGGTCATGCAGTTAAGGTGAAAAGCTCTGAGACTGTGTCCTTCTCAGGACATAGGCTATCCCATCATCAGGTGTGAGGCCCTGGTACGAGGATAAACATTACTCTAGTGCCTCTACTACTGACACATTGTACAAGCTGACTTTTATTATGGAAGGAAACATACAAGAGTAAAATATGTTCATTTACTTTAATGCATTAAAAAATATAGTAAATTCAACTATTGGGAGCTCTAAGAGAGCTCATCATTCTAGGTAACTGAACTTTATATGTATATAAAGGTTTACACCTAACTTACACCAGTTTTTATTTTTGAAAGCATTCTGGATAGCTCTTTTAAAAACATGTACATATATTTTTACACCAAGGACACTGTATTTGTTTAAATATTTTCTTGACTTAGGGTTGACTCTATGACACCAATTCTTTAATGTAATGAAACTCGTGAATACATTGAAACGTTCAGGGCCGTTTGTCCTCAATCTAAATGGCTTTAGATTTTAGAGCTCTTTTTGGATTCTCATGTGTGCTTTTTGTAGTCTTCCTTCTTTTTCTCTTTCTGTGAAGTATCTGCAGTCACTTCCTGATGCTTTCATGTAAATTTTAACCCCTTTGAATAATAGTAGTTATATTGCTAAACAGTGTTTGTGTAGTGGTTCAAAACTGACACAGAAATGTCACTTCAGTATTGTTTTTGATCCTCACAGTGGTCCTCTGAGAAGAACTAAGGTTTCATATTAGTTATATATAAGAGCAAATATGCACAGGGTCCTTTACACAAATAAATACACACACTTTAGTGCTCAGATGCACAATCTGGGCTACCAAGAGGATTCCTTTGCTTATTTGGTTCTAGAAGGAGAAACGTATCTATATAATAACATCAGATTCTTTGTATTTTCTATGTGTTTTTAAGTTATCTTAACAGAAACTGACTATTTGAAATTAATTAGACAGCTTTTCTTAATTATGCCAGAAGCAAGTACTTAAGAAATGATATTAATCTGATAAACTAGACACATATGTTGCAAATATGATAGAGCACAATTTTTAGTTTCAATAGTTTTAAATTTAAACTTGCTATTTCTTTCAATCTGTCTAAAAAATAGACTACACTAAGGACACACATTATGTCAAATCTTTCTATCATAAAGCCTCATGGATTATAAAAAGTCAGGAAATATAAAGAAATTAACTGTTCTCTAATGTTGAGAAAAACATGTACTAAGTTCATAATTTAATTCTCCCTGCTTCCAAATATAATCAAATTTTAAAAATGTACTATCCATGTTCATTTGTGAATAAGGTCAGTTGAGCTATTATTTTAAGTTTATTTTCAGAAAGGTGAAAAAATCAATTATAGAAAAAAGATATGGCATCAGAGAAAGCTAAGTCTATCCAACCTAACAACAATAATTAAATATATAAAAGGTCTAATTCCACACCTATACTTTCGTCAGAGATACAGATCAATAAAAATCCTTAAAGTACATATGAAGACTGTAAATTATTTCTTGGGTTATTAGGCTGTATTGAATTCAATGCAAAGATCACTTAGGTCTAGCAGTTAAAAATACATCAATATTAGGTCAAGGGATGTTGTCTAATATTTTCTAAAATATTTAGATGAAATAACTTTTGATAAGAATATTAATAATGTGCTATGTTGTATAATTAACAAGAATATAGTTATATGTAATTATTAATACTATCACGATAACAATCATTTTATCTATTGCTTTCTCCTAAGCCTCAGTTATGATGACAAATATAGGTCTCAATAATTTATATAATAGCATTTGTTATTTTCACACAGCGCAGGTGAATCATACAAAATTATCGATGTTTTTGTAAAGAGTAAGTAGTGAAAGCAAGCATATAAAGAGGATAAAAGCACACAGGGGAAGCTGTTAGTTTTTGGTTATACCGTTTGGTTATTTCCATACACTCTTAACAGCACATCATCTTGGCTAGGGAACACGTGCCTTTAAATGAGTTAATCTTCTTTCACACTTTGCAAGCTCGTTTACCGCTTATAAATGCAGATTCCTCTTGAAAGGTGGTTCTCATCTCAGTTGCAGAAGCATCTGAGGTTACATATCCCAGGGTTGCAAAAAGTCTTTCACTCTCCTGCCACGTCTTTTGAAAATTGCTTTTGAGATCTTTAGGTGAATCAGAGATATCTAAAATATGGCCAGCGATGACATCTTCATAGGTTGGCGGGGCATGCTTGAAGTCGACGGCAGCTTTTCCAGCTTCTGAGCTATGTGATGAAGAAGCTGTCATCTTTGACCCAACAATTTGACTCTCAAATGTATCCACGCCCGAGAAACGGTCACTTAGAGACCTTGTTTCAGGGTATACCCTGGGCTGTTTAACAGAATTTTTTTCTTGCATCTCTCTAGGATGTTTGCAAGAAAAGCCTGTAAAACTAGTGTTTCCTGAAGATGTTAATCCAAATTCCTCCTTACAAAATGTACGGCTTTCTTGTTTAATATTATGGTTTGCATCTCCATTTGCATAAATTCTTCTGTTTGACTTAGCTTGAAAAACTGGGCCATCCTCAAATTCTCTGAACCATCTGTTTATTTCTTTTTCGTGGTCGTTCACGAAACTTTCAGCCATTTGAACCGTTCGGTTGGCGGCTTCGTATCTGTGCGCGTGCTCTGACAGGCCAGGCACCTCGACCTGGCGGATGATTTCCACGGCATCGTAACTTTCAGTATCCGGCACGACGTGCTTAGTCGAATTTACTCCATCTTCGTGAACGTAAGTCGCCCTTTTCTCTACTTTCCTAACTTCCTCTTGGGCTTCCATGGATTCTCTGCAGGACCCACTAGCAGCATGATTTACACTGACAGGTATTGTGATTGTAGGAGAGTCTCTACCCCGGGTTTCTATCTTGATTTGACGACGAAGTGTTGCAGGAGACGCGATGATTTCAGCTCTCTTCTCTGCCATCGGAACCGGGGTTGCTGGTGGACATGGGATGGTTCCCCTGGATAACTTTGCAGTTGTGTCTTTGAGTCTGACAAGCTGTTCAGAGCGACTCCGGGGTGGAGAGGGGGATGCGTTTGCCCTGTGAACCGTAGATGTTTGTGACATGGACCTTCTTGGTGGGGGTTCGACACAGCTGTCTTTTTGGGGGGACTGAGAAAGCTCATCCTTGGTGGAGGTTTCTGTTCGTCGGGCAGTGGACTCAATTGTTATAAAAGTAGGTGATGGGGGGCGTGTTTTTAAAGACGGAGGTGAAATCTTGCTCGCATCCGGTTTCATCTCCTGATGGGTTTTCACGAGATGATGAGCAGTTGCTTCGTGATGAGTTGCACCTTGGTGGGGCACTGTTTTTTCTTCTACAGCTTTGTTTTCTTTCTGTTCAGTGGTTTTATTATCGCTGACATTAGTGGTAGACACTGTGGATGATGTTTCATTAAGACTAGCAGGCTTATTTCCCTGCTTTCCTGTTTTGGAGGATATCATGGCTGTTTGAATTACATTTTCACAGGATGCAAGCATATCCTCTGCTTGAATTTTAATATGTGTTATTTCTTCTTTGACTTTTTCTAAATTATTCTCCATGGCAATACGAACTCCGTATTCTCTTTTCTCTTCGCTTATCAGCCATACTGGAATAATATTTAACAGTGTCTGAAATGTTTTAAGGCCACTTTTATTGGGCTCTGCTTCAAATTGTTTTACTCTAGACAAAATCTGCTGTAATTCTTCCCGTTTTCTCAAGAATTCCAATATGTTTACAGCACATTTTCCATCATCCTGCTGGGATTCTTTCACAGAGGAAAATAAAGATTTGTTCTGTGTAATCTCTTGCTTTGAATCTTCAGTATTAGAGAAGACTTGTTTCTGTTCTATGCCCTTGACCCCGAGACATTTTTCTTCCTGCAGACTGTTATATGGCTGAGACAATCTTTTATGTTCAGCTTTACTTTCAGAAGTCTGTATCTGTGTTTGCTGAAAATTCTGAGTCTGTGAATCAAAATGTGCATCAATAACCTTATGCTTGACTGCTGTCAGTGCTGACTTATTCTTCAGATGTTCTTGTTTTCTTTCAACTATTAATCTGTCTTCCTTTGGGCACATCATTGCTGGTCCCTGGTTTTTTTCTTCACTTCCTGGAAGTTTTACTTGCTCAGATTCCCTGAATTCTCTTTGCTTCTCAGCAACTTTGTTGAGCTCACTTTCATGGTTCTTTTCTGTGGATTCTGTCGGCACTTTTATTGTCACTCTTTTCTCCTTCTTAGGTAATTCATAATATTTTTCAGCCACAGATTGCTGATTACCATATTTGGTGTTTGCTTCGGTTTTCTCAATTTCCTGATACTGTTGTTTGGTAGTGGATTGAACATCAACTTTAGATTGCTTTTTATGGCTTTCATGGCGATAGTCTATTTTATTTAATGTATGATCCACAGTGGGAAGCTTGATAGTTTTAACTCTGAAACTTGGGGTAACTGGTTTGCTTTGGGGCAAGTGCAACTGCTCCAGGTACTTCTGCTGTATTTGTTGGGTACTACGTTCTTGCTGACTTTGTTTAACTTCACAAGATGATGTGGATTGCGTAATATCCCTTGAGTTCTGTAAAACTTCCTTTTTCATGTTATCTTTGTCTTCTGAGGCTTCTAGAACATGTTGGAGCCTCTTGGCAGCTACTGTCACTGCTGATGTTGTGGAGAGCTGGTGATCAGCACACACTCCTAGTACCTCTGCATTACTTGGAGAGGCTGGGTTGGGTTGGGCCGCAGTAAGCTCTGAATTCATTCCAGGAAGGGGAACCTCCTCATTTGTTTTCTGTGATGACATTTCCTTTTCCAACTCTGATATGTTTTGATTTTGGTTTTCTGTTTTGACTATTTTGTAGCAAGAACTCTCCTGCTTCTGTTTTTCAAGCTCTTCTCTTTGTTGCCTGTATCTTTCTTCAGCAATCATTAAAGGAGTCTTAAATTTTCTCATATAAGGCTTTGGACTTTGTTGTCCTGAGCTAGATGGAAATGAATGAGATTTTATGAGAGGGGCTATCTGTTTTTGTTTGGGTGCTGAAGTTTCTGGAACTGTCTGTGAGAAAGACATTGCAGAGTCAAAAGATAATTGTTTTCTTTCATCAAGACTTTTTCTGACTACGTTCTGCTTTGTCTCTGTGTGTTCACTGCTAGTCGCCGTCATTAGTCTTTTCTGATCCTTTGAGGGAGTAATTTTACATTCCATATCTGACAAGGAATTTTCCAATTCAACTTTTGGGGAAAGGTGATTCTTTCTATCTTCTATTTGCTTGGGAAATTTGGGTTTGGGGAGTGTGGGAGGTGGCAAACGTACTCCTGATTTTCCTGTTACGATTTTAGTCTGAGATTGCTGAGAGCTTGAGGCTTCTTTTTGGGCATATTGTTGCATGAACGCTCCACTATACTTTTCTGGAACAGAGGAGGAAAGGAGATGGGCTGAATTTTGAGATGGAGTTGGAGGAGGGGGAGGAGGTAGAAACATAGGTAGATATTCTCTTTCGGATTTCTCATCTACTGGTGGTGGAGGAAGAGGGAGGCCTGGGAAGCTTTCAAATTCGGCTTTTATCTGCTCTGTGGACAGTGAGGGAGGAATCACATTTTTTTCAGGAAACATCATTAAAGGAGGTGGAGGAGGAAGAGGAAATTCAATTTCAGATGATGCATTGGAAGGTGGAGGAGGAGGTGGAGATGGAGGTGGAAGGGGGCACTCACTTTCTTTCATATTATTCTCAGGGTTAAAGTTGATTGAATTAAAGGACTTTTCCATCGCCATTTTTAAGTCTGCGGAAGTATTTGTCTTCATCAGAAAGTCCTGGCTTTGCAGATGAATGTCAGTCTCCTGTTTTTTGTTGGTTGCTTTAAATTTATCGCGGCTTTTTCCTGAGACTTTCATTTCTGTTATGTTGGATATATCTTGAACTACAGGCAAAGGCTGCTGCATGGGTTGAAGGTTCACTTTATCTTCCTTTATATCCTGATCAAAATATTGCATTTCTTTCTTTAACAAAGTTTGCTTCTGATAGTGCCCTGTAACTTCATGCATTTTTCCAGCTGGCACGTTGACTGGATGCTGGGTGGGACTGGGCTTGCAGCTTTGGGTGTCTGTTGATGGTTTCATGTTTTTGGTCTTTTTAGGGTTCTTTACATTGAAAGTTTCAGTCTTCTGGTGGTCATTCCTCAGTTCACAGGTTTGAGTCAGTTGCTTTCCGATTGTTTTATCAATAGATTGGGTGGAGTTAAAGACATCTTCCTTCTTCTGCTCTCTCACTCTCTCTGATTCCTTAGATTTTAGATTTTCCTTCGCTGACACAATTGAAGTTAGTTGTCTGCTCATATGTTCATCTCTAAGATGCTGTTCTCTTGTGGAATCAGTCCAGACCCCCATTTTGTCCCCAGATTCCAACACACTTTTAGTAGCTTTGTGGTGTAAATTAGATAGTTTCCTAAGGTTTTTCTCGAGAGCATTGTTGTTTTGTTCACGATCTATAACAATCTTTACAGAGCCTTTGGGAGCTTTTGGAAGACTGACCTCAGTTCTTTCTTCTGTTAAATTCCCATTACAATATTTGCCAGCAGTTTGACTGAGAGTGTCTGCTCCCCTTTGCCAACTGGCTGCTGGCTCAAATGGTCCCGGCCTTGGATGAAGAACACGTTTTTTGTCCCTCTGGACATCCACTTGATGAATCTCTGTTTTCTGCTCTTCTGGGGATCCTACCATTACAGTGTGAACATCTTTGATTGCACCTTCTTTATCTACCTCTTTGAAACCTCTTTGTGCTTCTTTCAAAGACATTAATGATGTTTCAAGTTCATTTCGGATAAGTTCCTTTTTCAGGATTTCTGTCCTTGTGTTTGTGGCCTTTTCAAGGCATTCAATAGCTTGCTCAATATCACCAGGGATGGAACGAGGCTGTTTAGATTCTTTCCAATGCTGGCTTGATTCCTGAAGTGACTTGAGTGTGGCCAGCATGTCGCCTTTTATAATTTCTTCTGTTTTAGCTACTGTTTTCTGACTTACGGCTTGGCTGAGGGAATTTAGGGTTGATTTCAAATCACCCTTTATAATTTCTTCTTTGGGTATCTCACAAGAGGTACTCTGAGGCCCTGTCATAAAAACCTTAACTGTATTATGCACATCTCCTGGGATGATGTCAGTTTCATCGACAGTACGTTCAACCCGAGACTGCCTTTTCTTTAGTAACAGTTTTGTGCCCTCAACATCACCACCAATTATTTCTTCCTCTCCTTGTTTCCTAGCTGTTAGTGTTTCATCTGACCCTGTCTGAAGTTGTTTGAGATAATCCAAAGCTCCAGTTTCTATGCATGTTGTAAAAAACTGAACATTACCTCTCTCAGAGGCATCAATTTTAGCCCTTTCAGGTATTTTATCATTTGATGTGGAAGTCAACAAATTATGAATGGTACGTCTTACATCGCCCCCTATTACTTCTTCACGCTTGATTGTGTCACCAGCATTTTCATGAAGAAGACAATAGATAGTCATGTTAATATCTCCTCTTTCATCTTCCTGAATTAAAATGCCTTTCTTTACAGATCTTTCCTCGGAGAACAGATTTTTTATTGCTTGTTGTACATCACCTCTCACTATCTCTTCTTTTTCGGCATGAAATTCAGTTGATCTATTTAATAATTGAGTTTTAGTCAAATTAACATTTCCCTTCTCTTCTTCACTAACCAAAATCTCTCTTTTTGTATAGTCCCTTTTAGAAAGTAGGTTCACCATTATATTTCTGAGATCCCCCTTGATAATTTCTTCTTTCTGTATCTCAGGAGCTGCTTGGTGCATTAGCTTGTATTTTGCCATTCGGACATCCCCAACTTCATCAGTTTCGATGATGATTCCAGGAGCCTGGATAACTTTTTGAGAATAGAGATCTTCTAAGGTTTCTTTAATGCTCTTGCCAATAATTTCTATCTTTTCAACTCTATTTTCATTAAATTCATGAAGGGGTGTTGTTTCAAAGAGCCATGTAGTTGTTTTGACATCAGAAGAAGGGATTTCTTCCCTGGTTATTTTTGTTATGCTTTCATCTGCTTCCTTAATAGAATCCAAAGTTTGATTTTCAAAAAGCCATACTGCCTGCTTAACGTCACCTTTCTGCACATCTTCCTGGGTGACTGTCTTGATATTTTCATATCCTGACCCTTCTCCTCTCAACTCATCTATTGTGTGGGTTTCAAATAGCCAAGTAGATGTTTTAACATTGCCCTTTTGTATTTCATTGACACTTACTGTTCTTACATAATTATTCTTATCAAAATTGTCAGACTCAAAGAATTGTTTACTTGTCTTTACATTGCCACCTTGAATATTGTCAACAGTGGGCACAATATTATGTGATTCTTCTGAAATCTGATCTAATGGCTGGGTTTCAAATCTGTACCTGGCAGAACTAACGTCTCCCTTCTGAATGTCTTCTTGTGTGACAGATTTGATAACATACACCGTTTCTGATTCATTAATTGAGTCTAATGGTTTTGTTTCAAAAAGCCACCTCGTTCCTCGTACATCTCCATGAATGACCTCTTCCTTTTTAACTGTTGTCACTTCATGATAGCACCCTTCTCTGTCTTGGATCGCATAGAGTGGCTGGGTTTCAAAGAGCATTCTGTAGCTTTTTACATCACCCTTTATTGCTTCTTCAGTGCTTGTTTTCTTGGTACTGATAGAGTCAGATTCTTCTTTAATCTCATCTAAAGAAAAAGTCTCAAAAATAAAGCACCCCTTTCTTACATCTCCACCTTGGATGTCTGTTACTGTCTTAACTAATTCATCCCCTTCTTGGCTTTCTTTTATCATATCAATTGGTTGGTTTTCAAAAAGCCACCTACAATTTAAAACATTGCCTTTTTGAATATCTTCACTTTTTAGGGTTTTGATCTTTTTCAAAACTTCCTCTGAATTGGAACTTATAGAATCTAAGGACTGATTTTCAAATTTATACCTCATGCTGGTGACATCCCCAGCTTGGATATCCATTTCTACAGGCTTTATTTCTTTCCTTTCTTCTCCTTGTATGCTGTCCAGATTTTCTGTTTCAAAAAGAAAACATGCTGTACGAACATCCCCACCATGGATCTCCTCCTGTTTTACAGTTTGCAATTTAGCTGTTGCTTCAGAGTCATCTTTTATGGTATCAAGTGGCCGAGTTTCAAAGAGCCAAGTACAGGTTTTAACATCTCCCTTATGAATTTCTTCACTACCAGTCATTAATGAAACTTTTTCATAAAGAGACTCCATTGGCTGGGTTTCAAAAAGCCATTTACAGGTTTTCACATCCCCTTTAACAATATCTGTAGCTTGTTCAGTTTTACTTTCTGTTTCTTCCATGTTACTAAAATATTTAATTGAATCAAGAGGTTGGGTTTCAAACAACCATTTAGCAGATTTCACATTCCCAGTCTGTATTTCTTGAGCAGATATTCCTCTAATTATCTGAAATTTATGAATGCTTTCATCAAACTGGTCAATGGGCCTTGTTTCAAAAAGCCACCTACAGCTTCTTACATCACCTCTTAAGATTTCTTCTTGCTGGACTGTCTTTACTTGATGATATTTTCCTAGGCGATCTTGAATGGCGTACAGTGGTGTTGTCTCAAAGAGAGCTTTATTTAACTCTACAGCACCTCTTGTGACTCCTTCCACCTGTACTTTATGTGATGCATCAAATTTAATTAAATTGTTTGATTCAAAGATACGTGTGTAATTCCTTACATCTCCTCTATCAACTTCTTCAAGTTTCACTGTTCGAGTGTACTCTTTTTTATCTTCTCTAATCTCTTCCAGAGGCTGGGTTTCAAAAATCCATTTCTGGTGCCTAACATTCCCCTTTTCTTCTTCAGAGGCAGTGATTTTTTGAAGCTTTCCTACATCAGGACTACCTTTTAAAGCCTCTATTGGAAGTGTTTCAAATAGATGCTTAGTAGTTTGTACATCACCCCCTATTATCTCTTCAGGTGGTAGAGGATCTGCATCAGGAACTTCTTTTAGAATGTCTAATGGCTGTGTTTCAAACATCCAACACTTTCTGGAGACATCTGTACCTATTATTGTTTCCTTTTCAGTGATGTCCTCTTCTGACTCTTCCTTTATTTTCTCTAAAGGTTGGGTTTCGAATAACCACTTTGCCCTACTCACCCCACCTTTGATATTTTCTTCCATGGAAATTCCTCGGACAATTTTAATTTCTGTGATATCCTTGTTAATTGTGTCCAAGGGCTGTGTTTCAAACATCCAACGTGCCGTTCTCACATCTCCCTTTTCAACATCTTCTCGATGAACAGTTTTAATTTCTAGCATTTGACCTAAACCATCTCTAATAACATACAATGGTTGAGTTTCAAAACATTTTATACTTCTCTTAACATTTCCCTTAATTTCTTTGAGCTCAGACCTGAGTTGCAGCAAGTGAACCTCATCCACTGAATGAATCTGTCCAAGTTGATCCAGATGTTGAGTTTCAAACATGTATCTCACAGTCTTAACATCCCCCCCAGTTATGTCCTTAATGACAGTTACCTCTGATTCTTCTTCACTTTGATGCATTTTATTCATTGAATCTAATGGCCTTGTTTCAAACATCCACCGAGCTGTAAGGACATCTCCTCTGGCTAGCTCAGGAATTTTCTCAGCATTTTCTTCAATGCCTGAAGAATGAACCCCTAGTGTATCTATGGGTTGGGTTTCAAACATCCATGTGGTATATTTTACGTCACCACCAGCAATGATCTCTTGATCAGCAATGGCCTTGGAAATGTCACCTTCATCAGGAGAGCCATTGTTGATAGAATCTAATGGCTGATTCTCAAAGATCCATCGCATGGACTGCACCTCCCCCTTAAGAATTTCATCCCACTCCAAGTGCTGTCTTTCCAAGTTCAGATCTTTTTGGGAATTGTCATTTGTATTTTCAAAAACATATCGGGCTTGTTGCACATCTGCTGAAACTGAGCTCCCTGAATTCATTTGCCTCGAAACAATCTCAGAAACCTCACTAATATAATCTTTTTCTAAGTTTTTTCTTAACTCAGGATGGATGTGTTTATATAAACGGTTTAATTCATACAAATTTCTTTGCTTGGAATATAAATCTTTGGGGATTGGTAGTCTTCTAGGAGGGCTAGGGAATTCAGGGGACTGGGAAACTGCTGTCACATCTATTGGAGTTTGAAGTACATCAGGTGGGGGAGGAGGAAATTCTTCCATCTTTCCCAAAGGAGTGGCATTAACCTGTGCCAGAGTTGAGGAAGTGACAGTGTGATCACTATATCTTGTGGCTGATGTTTCCTTCCTCTGGCTGGTTGAAGTGCAAGAAGTAGAAGAGGTACCCACAACTGGTGATGGCTTTGAAGTCTCTTCATATTCACTTTTAATCTTTAGGGGAGAGAAAATCAAACTGTATAAAGATGGGTGTAGCTGCGGAGGCTTCCTAGGCACTGCCCTTCACCTGTCCACAACCAGGAGCCAGCTATGACATCTCCATTGAAAAGGCAGGTGATATACTTAGGAGCAATACATAATATAATCTCTTTTTACTTGTAAAGTTATACTCCCATTCAGTGCATCAGTATTTTAACATTTACACATAATCTTGATTTTCCGCCCCTTTCCTTAATGTAGCATGCAGATAAGTCTAGAAGGAAACAGTAAAAGTCTTATAGTATTTTTGGGTGCTGTTTTGTTTTTTTTTTTGAAATTTTAAACAGAACAGAGTAAGCATCTGACATTTAAAATTGACTTAATTACTTTACTATTGTTAATTATTAGACTTTAGAGCATACGTAATTTTTTCTTCTCTTATTTTCTCTAGTGAGAAAAGTTTTTACCCTACATCTTTTCTTATGTATCTCATGGAACTGAAAAAGTGCTGGTTCAGAATACTTTTTGCTGAAATATACCTCATATATTCAATAATTTAAAAAATGTTATGCATTTAAGCCTAGTTTAACATTACAAATGTTTATGTGTAGAGAAATTACCTTAACCTGCTTGGCTGGGTTTGTCATCTTTTTGTCAGAATAAAGGCCCTTTTCCTGGGCAGACTTTTCAAATTGCTCTTTTAAAAGCTTAGTTGAAACCTTTGGAATATCTTCATCCTCAGGTGTGTCAATGACTACAAACAGAAAAGAATACCAGGGATATGATATAATTAATAAAAATGATGTTTGAGAAGAAATTATATTGCTATAGGAACCTTCTCGCAATATAAATAAAAAGATTCAGGGTACAAATTTATACTTATGACATTATTTCATTACATAATTTAGAAATATAGCAAGAAATATAGCAAGAAAAATGGTGGTGGTTATCTCTGGATGGGAATATTTTCCAAATTTTCTGCAAACATGATCTACTTTTATGCTCAGAAAAAAAAAGTAGTTATAAAACAAGAAAAGAATAGCAGAAGACCTACTTTCTTTTTCCTTATTTTTTTTTTTTTAAAGATGACTGGTAAGGGGATCTTAACCCTTGACTTGGTGTTGTCTATAGCAAGAAATATAGCAAGAAAAATGGTGGTGGTTATCTCTGGATGGGAATATTTTCCAAATTTTCTGCAAACATGATCTACTTTTATGCTCAGAAAAAAAAAGTAGTTATAAAACAAGAAAAGAATAGCAGAAGACCTACTTTCTTTTTCCTTATTTTTTTTTTTTTAAAGATGACTGGTAAGGGGATCTTAACCCTTGACTTGGTGTTGTCAGCACCACACTCTCCCAAGTGAGCTAACCAGCCATCCCTACGTAGGGATCCGAACCCATGGCCTTGGTGTTATCAGCACCACACTCTCCCAAGTGAACCACGGGACAGCCCAAGACCTACTTTGTTAAGCAGTAAAACAAAAATAGGTACAGTCAAGTAATGTTCTAGTTAGTTGGCTAAAATCTTCCCAGTTAGCTCCTCAGGACAGCAAAACTCATTTCCCCCTTTTATAGGCAAGACAAATCGTGCCTTGTCTTATGCAAACTTGCACAAATTTGCCTACAGTCTTAGCTTATATCTGTAGGTTGGAGAACTTGACTTAACAGTGCTTGAATCTGTTAATAAGACTAATATAATCTAGATAACAATTCTATCCTTCAGGAGCTTGATAAACATCAAGTTTTATTCTAGGTTCCTGAGGCAAAAAGGAATTCAGTGTGGCTAGCTTATTATCACCTTTTAGGCTTTAGGATAAATACATTATGAGGCTGATGGGCAATGAACTATTTTAGAAACTTAGGGTATCTATCACCACAGGCAAAATCTAATTATATGTAGAAATACTACCCAGCCCCCTCTGGGTCCATAAGTCATAGTCACTAAAGTTACTCAGTGGGGAGAACAGTGCTTTGGAAGTCCTCTATTCAAACTCGGACACATCGATAGGAGAAAGGTATATTAGGACCCTTAATACCAGACTGTACCTGTTTCTTGAACATATTGATGGAACTGAGAAACTTGGTTTATGTCCTCAGTGTGCTTTTCAATATGAGAGACCTGTGTTTAAAGATAATTTGAAAAAAATAATTATTTTTTAATAGGTCAATTATTTCAATATTCTTCAAATAGTCAAAATGAAATATTCATTTTACAGAGATTTTCATCTAAGACTTCAGGGCACACTGAGAGATGATAATTAAGCCTCTATCATTTATTTTAATGCACAGACTCATGCTATAACTGAATATATTTGAATTGACACTTAAAGTACAATTATATTTTTAGGTTGTTCATTTTAATTTTAAAAGAATTTTAACTGTGAAGGGGGAAAAGAGACACTGATAAGTATTGAAACTAAATACATAAGGAACAATAAAAGCAAATGCTGACAACAAAGTTAGAATTTCCATACAGTTCTGGAAACTGTTTGGAAAATATTGTCTTTCTAAGTAGTTACCATTTCTGTTCCAATAACATCAATTTCATGTGCTTTGGAAACTTCTTGTTCATTTCTTGCCATTTCCTGGCTGTTTCTTGAAATGTTGACCTGGCTGCTGAGGATTACCTCCTGAAAATAAACAAACAAAAAACAAACAGATAGACAAATATGCTTTAGGAAAACTCTGATAATTTCAACTTTTTTATTAATGTAATTTCAGTGACAGAAGCTTCTGGAAAAAAATAATAAGGTTCCTTAGTGTATTAGTTTGCTTGGCTGATGTAACAAATTACTGCACGTTCAGTGCCTTAAAGCTGGATAATCTTATTATCTTACACTTCTGTAGGCCAGAGGTCCTGAGTGGGTCCCAGTGGGTACTAGTTGGTGTTGGAAGGTGCGGATTCCTATCTGTAGGCTCTAGAGGACAGTTCATTCCCTTGCCTGTTGCAGCTTTTCGGGGCTGCCCACTTTCCTAGGCTCATGGCCCCCTCCTCTGTCAGGTGGAGACCTTCTCATGCTGCCATCTGTCTGATGCCTTCTTTTACTCTTAAGGACCCTTGTCATTACATTGGACCAACTCAGATGATCCAGGATTATCTCCCCATCATACAGTCAGCTGACTAGCAGTTTTAATTCCATCTGCAATCTTAATTCCCCTCTGCCATATAATTTAACATATTCACAAATTCTGGGGAATAGGACATAGATATCATCAGAGGCCATTATTCTGCCTACTGCCTCAGTAAACAACAAATGTTACTTATGTGTCTTGCACCCAGTATGAGAAAGATGAACCTCAAAGGAAAAAGAAATATGTTTTGTTCTTTATAAGCTACACTTTCATGTTACAAAAAGGTATTCTAGTCTCAAATTGGCCACCCAGTATTATGACATCCAGAGTTCAGCTGAAGAATATAACCATTAAATGTAACCAATATAAATAGGCCATATTATGCTTGTGTGTATTTCCCTATTTTCACAGATGGTGCTACTTTTGATTTTGATTAAGTTACTGTTAATGACCCTGACTGAACTGGAAAGTTGGAGCTCCTATTAATTTTGGTGATGCAGCCCTGATTTTACTACAGAATATGATTCTAATACAAGTATATGATTGATTGATTGGTATAATGAAGCAGTTGGCATACTGCTAAAAAATCTTACCATCAAAAAATGATATATCCTTTACAAGAACACATGTATTTGAACATGTTTGTAGTTGGGACTTCACTTTTATCTTGATATCTAAGTGACTAACCAATACTATTCTTGAGAACTGATTTTTAAATATTTATCCTAAAGAAATACCACATGTTTTCACTTATTGGAGGGAGCTAAAGGTGAATGAATCAATTCACACACACACACACACACACACACACACACTCACACACAAAAAAAAAACCAAACAAACAACAACAACAACAACAACAACACAAAAAAACCG